GATGACAAAATCTTTGGCGTCTCTGTCAGTGATCGCCTCAGGATTTTAATAGACTTTAAAAACGGACGCTTCAGAACCTGCCGCCTCTTGTCAACACCAACCTGAGTCGGTGAAAGCCTCCAGCCGTTATAGTGCCGCCTGTGTGTGAACTCTGATGGTGAACCTTTGACAACATCATCTCACTAAAGCAAAGTCAGATTTTATTTATATAACCTAAAATCACAAAGCATAAATTTGCCTGTTAGTGCAGTGTTTCAGTTTTCAAGTCACTAAGACTATACGGTGTGTAAGGACGCTAGAGACACCAGAGTCAGCTGAACAAACCACGTCCAATATGTGCAGCTTGTGTTGTTTTGTCTGCCAACTTGATATGAAGCACAAACCACACCCACCTGGCTCAAACTGGCAGAGTGCTCGTCAGGTTTTGTCGTGCACCATGAAAATAAAATAATGTGCATTATTACAACATAACTGTTCTGCCTCAAGGAGAGCCTGCAGACATTTTAACTGACTTCACTGCACTGGATGGAAGCATAACATCAGCAGCTGGAGTCACAGAAAAGACAGATGCTGTGTCCTTATTAAAGCAAATAAAGTGGGTAAATTATAACCAAACTGACCAAAATAACCAAATAATGAGACAAACAGAAACATGAGCAGCGGGTCACGCTGCATCCACAGCCTCCGACCACGCCACACGGGAGGCTCGGCCTTGGAAAACGGCACAGAAATAGAAAATCAGCAACCTCACTGTTTAAAACATGTGCCAATCATCCTGACGATGGGAGCAGCAGGATGAAGCAGCTGATCTCAGAGCTGTGTGATGTAACTGCAGTGATGTTTGTTAAAGTCTAGGTGCAAACTGATCACAGGCAGCAACTGTGAATTTACACAGTGCGACGCTTCTGGTGCAGACAGGAAGCTAAAGGAGTCGGAGCATGAGGTCAGTAACAGCTGACCCGCGTTTTTCTGCCATGAAAGAAATAAATTCCTGACTGAAAATTAGCTCCCAGCATCTCCTAGTGTGTTTAATGCAGACATCTGTCAAACAGCCAAGATTTACAGCTGTCACAGACCATCAGCTCAAAATGTCTGAATCATACTGCCAGCGAAAATGTTTCCAACGCCTCTGACGAGTGTGACAGGACAGAGTGCGAGTCTGTGACTGACGCACCAATGTGGCTTTAGGCATGAAGAGGATCAGCGGGATCTCAGGGAAATCTCGCAGCAGAGCATGTGTTTCCTGTCGTTGTATATCTGAACCAATGCAGCAGTTTGTTTAAGAAAATGTGCTAATTAGGCTCCATGAACACACCGGTGTGTTTGGATCACAGCCCTGTCAGCACTTTTGTCTCTGACGTGACCAACGTGTTATTTTTTTACTCAGGTTTCATTGTGGTGGTCGGCTGGTGATGCGGCTGTGACCCCTCTGTCACCATAGAAACCACTCACATCCCTGGGTAACCATGGAGATGATGGAGAAACGGGAGGCATGCACTTCAAAATCATAAGTCCAAAGGAACTGTAAGAAAAGCACAAACAACACTGAAGCATAAAAAGGTGTAAACAGTCAACAGATAAAAACAGAAACATCGCAAAACAGAAATCACTGATAAAACAGCTGATGACTGATGATCGATACACACTGAACATCATGCAAACTGTCACTCAGGTAAACAAGCTTAACCAGACTAGGACACATTTTCTGAAGCTTTTATGAAACGATAAATTAGTCTAAAACGGCGCACTAACAACCAGATAGGTGAGGTGGTATCAGGGCTCCTTCTGAGATGATTGATTTTAAAGCATCAGGTAAATTATGTTAGAGAGGGTTTGAGGAAAAAACATTCTGGAAATGTAAATTCTAAAATATTTCATCTGATTTCTGTGAAGAAAAAAAACAGTAAAAAAACTCCAGAATCGTGCCCTCGTGTTCCGAGATGAAAACTAAATACATCCTAAACTATTACTGTTTTTGATCACAGCGTTTTGCTGACTTACAGTGTTACACAATGTTGTGGACGTTATTTTGACATGTGCATGTAAAGGTGTTAATTAACCGATGGCGCTGAAGGCGGGACACGAAGCAGAAACTGATTAAAGTTAAATTTGAAATGATCAAGGATTATATAATTAGCATTTGTCCAGGGTGGACCCCAGGTCGCTGGTTTGTCAGGGCTGACACGTAGACAAACAACCACACACACTCACTCCTACGGGCCAGTTGACCTAAGCTGCATGTCTTTGGATTGTGGGAGGAAGCCGGAGTTTGTGTTCAAATGTTACTTTTTATTAGTACTAGTCTCGTTTTTGTCATAAAAATAGGTTGTCAACAAATGGAAGGACGAGATCGAGGAAGAAGAGCGGGGGAGGGGAGGAGGACAGAGAGGAACACCAACTCATCTCACTGGACTGAAGCTGACTCAGCTGAGAGAGAGACTGGGAAACAACGGGGTGATGAGTGGAGGAGAGAGACAGAGAGATAACTGGGAGCCTAAGGTCTTTCGCCCACTGACGCATGTAAAAGCATCAAATATTCATCTCACCACTGCAACAGCATCAGCACGCCACTGCAGGAGGAGGAGGAGGAGGAGGAGAGGGGGTGGAGGAGAGACCAGGAGTGGACAAGAGAGGAGGAAGGGAAGAGGAGAGAAAATATGGAGGAGGAAAGGAGGAAAAGGAGGGGAACAGAAGAGAGGAGGGGGACAAGAGGAGAGGAAAAGGAATGGAGGAGGAGGAGGAGGAGGAGGAGGCTGGCAGTAAATGGAAGCCGCTCACGTATTCACTGATCTAAAAATAGCTCAGAGCTGAGTCTGATGGAGCCACACAGAAAATGACTGACTGGAGTGGAGAGAGAGTCCAGCAGCAGAAGGAACTACAAAGACCAGACCTGGTCACTGACTCTTGACCAATAAGAACATCTGGAGCTTTTTCAGACTTTCACAATAAAAGCCTTTTCAATTCAAGCCTTAATTCTAGAAGATCCTCTGATCTCCAGTTCTGTGATCTGTCAGGCTGTTTAAAAAAAAAATCTGATCGATCCCATAGATTTATTATTGATCACTGTGACTGACACACAGGACACGAGGCCTAACAGGAAACCTAACGGCTTGGTCTGCAATCAGTCATCTACTGAGCTGATGTGCTGCAATGCAGCAAACACACCCCGTCTGTGCGGCTGTATGCTTTTCTTTCAGCTTTTTATTATTTAATTTGTCTTTTTAAAGCAGATTAAAGAAAAGCAAACCAAAAACACACCAGAGGAAGACAGACGATACGATATGTGTGGCGTACGGCGGACCATCCTGCTAACAAGTCATTTTAACAAAATGTTAAATTATGGGGGAAAAATTTAGCAAAAATAAAAATAAAAAAGTTTACATAAGTCTCATGCCATAATTTTTACACCAAATTTGATTTTTAAGGCAAAATCATCACTTAAAAACTTTAAGATCAATTTAAATTCTACAACTAAAACTATTCACATGTTGGACCTAAAATCTTCAGAAAGAATTTAGAAATTAAAACTGTAACATGACATTACAAATGATTTGCTTGTTAAATATGTTTTACAGCCCATGATTGTCAAACTATAAATCATTTGTGTTGTTCAGTCAGATTTTCCAGAATATCAGTGACGTGCTACAGTATTTTACCTGCGATGTGAACTGTGATGTCATCATGTCTATGAAGTCATAATGTCAAAACAAGGAGATACAAAATCAACATTATGACATTTTATCTATTTGATTTCTGTCTCATTCTCCATAATGGCAGGAATGTTTTTCCACGACAAACAAAAGATGACCACACCTGACCTTTTGTTTCCCCATTTTAAGAACTAACAAAAGGACTGTGAGTTAAGGGAACGTCCACGGTTGTTGCTGCTCAGACTGAAGGACAGCAAGAGGGACAACGTCGCTCTCAACAGCTGCTTACCGGCCGGACCTCTCCGGTGGTGTTGGTGTACTGTCGCGCCAGACCAAAGTCCAGCATGTAGCACTTCCTGTAGGTGGAGGGAAGCCGGCCCATCGCAAAGTTCGACTACAGGAACAAAACACAGAAACAACAAGCATCAGATCACTGCACCTGAAAACTGGGCCACAGTTTTTCAAATCTGTCTTACAACAGTCAGGTGCTCACATGAACAGGGAAACAGGTCTGGACTGCTGTAAGCTTTCTTTCCATTCATACCGGACATTTCTAACGTAATAAGTAAGTATATAAATGAATGGGCGACACCTCCGGTTCCCATTCTCTACTAAAATATGTTCAAAACTTTATCTGAATGAAACAACTGAACAAAAAACTGAAAACTAGTGAAAGGGAATTAAAATAATCAAAGTTTACAGCAGTGCTACATACAGTTGCATTAGTCTCCACTTTTATCTCACTAGTCAGGATTTATGCTTCTCTGCTGAAATTTTCAGTGTTAAAATTCCGGTATCGTTTGCCAGAGGATGCCTCCCGGCACAGGGGTTGTTACCAAGACCGCTGTCAGCATGGAAACCTGATCCAGGCTGAATCACATCAATAACCATCGTTGGGTTGAAGCTGAGGCGGAGCAGAGACCCTGCCGGTTTTTATTCCTGCCTTCCCAACTCTCCTCACTCATCGCCGTTTGTCCTCCAGCTTTCCTTTCAGTCTGCTCATTCATATGCAAATCTATTCGCTACCAAAATCCCTTTGTCCTCACTGTTACCAGCTTGTTTTCCTGTTTAGAACCGATGTTCAAAACTGTGCAGATATATTCAGACTGCAGTTCAGCTTTGGTACGCTGGAGTTGGTCAATCGGGGCTTGCCATTAGTCTTAAATGCTCAAAAAACAAAGCTACTGGTCCTCTCAGAAGTGCGTCCACAGCCGCTTGATAACATTCTCACATATGATGGTAAATCCACTGAAGAGGGTCTTCCTACCCGCCTCCTTGCATTGCCTTTGTACAGTACTTTGGTCGACCAGACGTTGCTTTTAAAGTGCTATATAAATACATTTTGATTGACGGATTGATTGATTATCCGTCTCGGCTGTGGTGGTTCCCAGCTACGCTCTTCTAGGTGGTTACTTTTTAATGCACCTCCAGTTTTTACAGATCTGTGGAAACCCGGCTCTCCCCACTACGCACCGTGGTTATGGAATAACTTGCAGAAAGACCTAAAGTTGGCCACATTCATATCTACTGTAGAATTTAAAGCCTTCATAAAGATTGTGGTGATGATGAGACGTGCAGCTGCTTCTCCTCCGAGTCCACTGGTTTTATCCTGCGAGTCAAATTTTTGCACATTGTGTTGTATGCGTTGAATTTTAATATGCTGTAAATTTGTATGGCTGCCATTTTGGCCAGGTCGCCACTTAGACTTACTAGTAGAATAAAGGTTAAATGTTTTAAAAATGCAGACAGGCTTTCACAAAACAACCCTTCACAGACTCCAGCTATACAAACTTAAAACTAGCTGGCTGCCATCTTTACCTTTTTATTCAAAGGTTACAAAATAATAAAACCATAAGGCAACAAGACTGACAAAACCACTGCAACCTCAAGTCTACACTGTCACACAACATGAAAATCTGGGGAAATTAAAATTCTAACTAAATATACTGACTCTTCTGCTGTGAAAAACACACCTACACTTCAACAGTTCTACTTTCTGCTTCTGCTGCAGAGCCAAAGTGTTCAGGAGCTAGTGACGGCTGATCACCGATCAGGTCGCAGGTCGTAGCTTTAAGGGTCTCCCGCCCTTCCCTGCTGGCGAATACCTGCAGACGCCACGCTGGACTGAATAGTATCACCAGCGCTATTCTTTCATCTCATCTTTTGACTCACCGTGGCCGTCCCCACTTCTAAAACCAAACCTTTGCGGTTGTTTCCACAACACTAATAGATTTGTGAAATAAAAACTGTATATATTTGGATTTGGTTAAGGTACAGCAGATATCGCTTGTGGTTGTTTATCTCCGCCAACCAGTCAAACTCTGAGGAATGGGACAAAGAAAATCCCTCAAGGTGTTCCTCAGATATCGCGTTCACAAGAGCGAGACGGACAACCTGAAAACATAATGCCTAAAAAACTCCCTCCACTTAAGTAAGGTCGCACCTTCCATAGCAACGACCAGTCAAAGTCCCTCATTAACATCACTTTCCAGTCACGACCACGTCAAACCACAGAAGAAGACAACAGCATTATGGGAAAGAAACCCCCAGGTGAAGGAGCTCCTTTTCTTCATACCGGTTTGATGTCGCGGTGCAGGAAGCCCACCGAGTGGATGGCTTCGATGGGCTCCAGAATCTGCTTTCCCAGCCCCCAGGATGGTGAAGGTTCCTCTGGGCTGACTCCTCCGCAGGTCGGCCAGGTTACGACCCTGCAACAACAGCAGCGACAGTCACTCAGCTACAATGCAAAGACAAACCGCTGGGGTGCAGCCGGAAGAAACCAGCTGCAATGACACTTTGATTTATATGATTTTAATCTGTCACCAAATTTGCCAAGAACTTCATCAGAGCTGAAGCTGTTGAATGACCAAGAAATAATCTCTGATGATATGTCTTCACTTCTATCCTTCACAATAAAAGCTCATTGTGTAGCCTCTGATCTGTATGACTCACCTGAAGCTGCATGACCACATAGTTGAATTTGTCGTTTCTCCCGCAGCCAATAAACTTACAGATGTGGTTTTTACCTGGAGAAGACAAGACGCAGCCGTCACTGATCACACTTGCGTACGCTGTGTTTACATGGAGGAGTGTAAAGATACTGATTAGACCAGAGCGCCCTCCCTCTGACCACGCTGAGTGGCTGCCTACCAGAAGTCCCCAGTAAGGGATTTGAAAGGACTCAACTTCAAAAAGCAGATTCAGAACTGCATGATCAATGAAGTCCTAACAAGGCCTGTCCCCACACATGATGAAAGCAAATACAGCAGCAGCTGAAGTTAGAAACAACAGTGTCAAGTTCATTTTACATTTCTACTTTGCTCCTTTGGAACCAGTTCAGAACGAGCACCACACTGAACTGGCTGAAATAAAAACACAGTTAGCATCAGATTCAATCTCCGCCCTCCTCTAAATACAGTTACATGACTTAGACTTGTGTTGCATTTTGGGACAGCATCGGCGAAGCCCCGGTGTGCACGCGCTCACCTTGCAGCTTCTTCAGCACCGCCACCTCCATCTTCAGCACCTGTTTGGGCTGCTGGGCCGACTCCACCTTCAGCGCCACGTTCTCCCGCGTCAGCAGGTCCAAGGCCTCGTAGATCTCCCCGAACCCGCCGCCGCCGATCTTCTTCAGCTGGGACACAGGCAGACAGACTCTGGATCAGTGTGGTCACTTAGTCTCATACAGCATCAAACTGGAGCTTCACCAAAGGAAGAAACGTCAGTTTGACAGAAACATCGCGGGAATAACACGAAGGTTTAATGGTTCAGCTTGAACCTACTGGAAAGACTTGTTTAAAAATAAAGGATTTAAGTTACTGAAAGCTTTTCATCTTTTTTCTACATTCATTTCATCTTGTCCTCTTTTCACTTATCATCCACATTTACCCCGTTTTCTCTTTCATGCTGGTGAACCTTTCCTTTTTTTTGTTAACTTCTTGCTCACTGTTTCTTTTTTGCCAATTTATTTCCTTTTCCTTCACTTCTTCCACTTTTTCTTCCTTTAATTTCCAGTTGCATTCTCCCTTGATCCCTCTTTTTTTTAAACATTTTTCTTTTTTTCCACAGTTTTCAATGTCTTTGTCCCTAATTCTGACACTTCCCTTATTTCCCCCCTTCCTGTCTTCTTCTTTCTTCCTCTCCTCACTTCTTCTCTACCTTTCCTACCTTGTTCCCCTTATTGTGAGCCTCCGTTCTCTGTCGTTTCTTCCTTCCTTTCCTAGTTTCCTTCATACACCTCCTCTTTCCTCCTTTCTTCCCTTTCAGGTCTTATTGTTTCTTTTTCTGTCTGTTTTATTCCTTCTTTCTGTTGCTAAACCTGCTGAGGCGTGTGCTGCATCTTGGAGGTTTTATAGAGATGGTTAAGGTGATCAGTGAGGCGCAAACAGCCGCAGGCTCCACGCTGTGATCTGATTGGCTGAGACAGGAGCTGCTTATGTAACTTCTTATTTCATAAATAAATAAATAGAAGAAAACTATTTTAATTATTATTTGTTTGTTTGATTCTAACAAATAAATTACAAATAAAAATAAACAAAATTTGTCAAGTGTCGCAATTAATGTTTTTAACTTTTACAAATACATAAAAAGAAAAACAATTAAATACATTTAAAATAAATCAATATAAAATTAAATAATACAATTTAAAGTACGCAGCTCCACAGCAGTAAACCGGGGCAGGGCTCTGGACTCACCACTTTCCATCGGTCTTTGACCATGCAGTTTGGCGGCAGGATGTCGGCCTGCTCGGCCGTCCCGTTCATGTTGGCGTTGTCCTGGAGGCCGGGGACTAGGCACTGCATTTGCCAGCCAGACAGAACACGAGCAGCTCCCAGCTTAAAAGAGCCATTTATCTGTGAGGAGGGGGCGACAGGAGGAGAAAGAGGAAGGAGGGAAGGAAAGCAGAGCAGAACAGTCAGTATATCAAAAGCACTGGTCTGTAGTGGGAGGCTCCCAGTTGAACCACAGCCCTGTGCTGGGATAGTCACAGCAGTCCAGTATAACAACAGGCATTAGAGATGGCTATTTGAAGCCATTCTCCAGCTGGATCAGGCTACAGGCTGGTGGTGAGGGGGAGGGAGGTCGGGGTGGGGTGTATGATGGTATTTGCAGTAACTGGAGCAAATATCATGTCTGCAGAGGAAGCAGTCGGACAGGCTGCTCTTCCTGACTGCAGCTGCAGCTTTGATGCTGCGACGGCCGGCCGAATCCTCAGAGGTCAGAACAGGCTGGTTTTTAATCTAACACCCATCAGCGTGGCACAGAAGCCTGTCCCGGCGAGATCCCACCAACATCTGGTGCCATTCAAGCTGAACTACACAGAAGACCCTGTTGTGGAAAGCTGTGATTAAATTTGTGACTGTTAATGTTTTCAGGTTAACTGTTTGAAACTTAGGGGACAAAACATGTTCAAATGGAGATTAATGTTGTGTCTGTACGGTAAACATGAGGCAGCCGATTAGCTTCGCTTAGCATAAAGACTGGAAACACGGGGGAAACGGCTAGCCTGGCTCTGATCCAAGGTAATAAAATCAACCTGACATGCTCTGATTAACATGTGAGATCTCATTTGTTTCATCTGCAGCAGACAGGTAACGTGCCAGACTATATCTTGGCCAGTCCGTTAGGGGACACTCCATGAACCCATTGCTCCTAATCAAGGCCTAGTCCATCACAATCCCCCTATAAACCACAATTTATCATTTTTATACTTCTCTTTTTGCACAGATCAAACAAACTAGATAGTGCACATTAATAAGTGAGCTTCAGCGGTGGACAGATGCCGGCTGGCTATTTCCCTCTGTGTTCTGTCTCGGTGCTAAGCTACGCTAACCAGGTATGATCTGGAGCCTCATGGTTACTGCACAGATGTGAGAGCAGTATATTTCCCTAAACTATTCATTTACAAATGCAATTCAGAGCAAAAATATAAACCTCTAGCGAAGACATATTCTCAGTTCTGAGTATCAAAAACTGAATTACTGGAAGTTGGTGTCAATGGCTGCAATCAGATGGTTCAGTAACACTTTACAAGTCTGTAATTATGAACCTCTCTTATAATTTCTTGCAAAGAATTTGCATAAAAAGTTTTAATTCTTAACAGAATATCAGTATCAAATATTTCCAGCCCTTGCAGTCAAATTAGTACTATAGTGACAAACAACTTTTGTTATGTAGGCCTCATTTCACTAAAGAACGTGAAGCTGAACTTGGTATTTTGGGCAATTTTTCCCCTGACTTTGTCCTGGCAGGTGGCGTACACTTCCAGGTCAAGTACTGCTCCCAGCCAGCTCCATACACCAAATGGCTAGATACAGAAATCTGCGTAAAATATTTGAAACTGTTTTCTGAGATTTCAGTTGGAAGAGCCTGAAGGGGACCTGGGAGTGAGACCTACCTGAGGACGGCATCAGGAGAAAGAAACCAGAGGGGCCTTTATATACCTGGAAAAATCTTTGCTGAGGTCATGGTTAGTTTTAAACTTGACTATTCTATGCAGAAAATGTGGCTTTTGGGTCAACTTCCTGCAAATAACATGGAGACTGGCTGATACTAGGTTCATTACAGCACTGGCAAAGTAGTGAAATCCTGGAGGAGCTGATTAGCCTGAACCAGACAACCATGAAGGCTGTTTGTGAAAACTAAATATAGATTAGCAGTGGAGGATGTGGTCTCCCTGTTAGCAAACTGAGGCACTAACATCAGCAGGCTGAGCATCACTCTCTCAGCCACTGTCTGCATCTCTAACCAACCCCCAGCCTGGGTTTACTCTGCTCTGGTAACCACATGTCTGCCATGAGCGATTACCAGTTTTCAGTGGATTCGTGGGGGATATTTTAAGTTCACAGTGATGCATGTCAGTCCCCAAACCATGCTGTTCTGCATGCAATGCCACGGGCCATCATCAGTGCATGCAGAGCTCAGGCGGACTGCAGATATAATGGAGAGTGTCCGCTGTGTTTCCAGTCAGACCAGCTGGACAGAAGACTGGATGGACTGGGAAGGAGGGGAGGCGGCTTCTCTGCACCTGCAGTGACACAGCTCTGTAAAACTGCAGCATCACCATCAGCTGCACAGCGAGCAGCTGCCGGGAGTCACTGTAACACTGGAGATGTAGTGAAACCTGCTGCAGGCCTCAACACGCTACTGAACCGCCAATCACTGCAGAGGGCGGGACCACAGAGTTCTCCTGAATACACTGCAACAGCAACCTGAACACAGGAGATGGTAACTGGCCAAACAGAACTGCAGTACAGCAGCAAGTGATACAGCGTACAACAGATACAATATAAACTCAGCAGCCGTAGAGCTGAACGCGGTGAAACAGCCCTGCCGTCGCATCTGTTCCTACGATGCTTGTAATGTCTCAGCTTTGATGAAACAGTCAGAAATGTGTAAATTCAGTTCCATGTTTATTAGTGAGGTCACAGTTAAAGGCGGTGTTGTTCTGGTCGGTTTATGTTCAGAGGGGTCCCTAATAATCTGAACCACACACTGCTGAAGTTGGTGTAGCGCATCCCATGTTTTAGAATGTACAGTGTAGTATTTGTACGCCGATGTGACCAAGGTTACTACAGTATCATCAAATATTAAGTACAATTTACCTGAGTTTTATATAGTATTACACGAGATGTTTCAATACAGTATAGTATTTTTATATAAGGAATTCTGTAACATTCTGATTTACAGTACAGTGTACAATATGTACAGAGTAGTAATAGAGGCTAGCATATATATCAAAAGTAATGTAGTATTTGTACATAACATAGTATGGCTATATATAGTTATTATAGTAAAAACTAATAAATTATATGGTAAAGTTTTAGTACAGAACAGGGTGATCTAGTATTAATATTGCTACACTGTAGTAGTATTGCAAATATATATAGCATATATAGTATAATACTGACTATACCATAGTAGGTTGTAGTATAGTATGATTGCATACAGTCAGTTATTGTGTAGTATAGTACGGTGTTTACAGGCAGTAGTAACAGAACTAGAGTTACTGCCTCGCGGCCGTGTCCTTCAGTGAACCAGCCAAAGTCACGAGAACAGGAAGGACGAGAGGCGACTGTGACCCTGGTCAGATCATCCTCGAGTCAAAGTGGACACTTGTAGTGTATCATATCTTAATGTACAATTCAGTACAGCACAATATAATGTAGTACTGTATGATCTTTAATTTATCATGGCATCATATGATACACAGCATACCTGGCTGCGTTTTACTGTAGAGTACAGTACTGTATCCTACTATATACTGTGTAGAACATACTGTATCCTACTATATACTGTAGAGTACAGTACTGTATCCTACTATATACTGTGTAGAACATACTGTATCCTACTATATACTGTAGAGTACAGTACTGTATCCTACTATATACTGTGTAGAACATACTGTATCCTACTATATACTGTAGAGTACAGTACTGTATCCTACTATATACTGTGTAGAACATACTGTATCCTACTATATATTGTAGAGTACAGTACTGTATCCTACTATATACTGTGTAGAACATACTGTATCCTACTATGTCATTTTGTGTGGGGTTGTATCGTAGCCTATAGTTTGCTTGTATATTGAAATCTAATGGCATAGCATCATGTGTCATATGTTAATGTGTACTACAGTACCATCATATCCTACAGTTGTATATGGTTTCTGTGTACACTATGGTTTGTACTGTATACAGTGAAAATGATCAGCGTAAACCAAAGAGGAACTCTGTGGCCCGCAGCAGTGTGTTCTGGTGCGTTCAAGCTTCTCAGCAGCACAGCAGAGTGAAACATCCTGAACAACACTTGCTCTGCCTTCAAACCTCGGTCTTCTCTTCTGCTCGTCACCTACAAACCTACTAATCTGTTACTGGGAGCAAAGGGGAGGGTGATCTGCAGGAAGCCGCGTTTGCATCATTCCAGTTTTGATCTGATGATGTCAGCCAGAGCTCACCATAGTTCTGAGCTCCTGGAAAACCTGATGGCTTACAACAAATCCTGAGCGGGACAAAACCCTTCCTGTTCCTGTGTTAGCCTACAAGCCAAAACAGAGGGCACAGTTAACCAGGAGGACAACCGACCTGCACACACAGGCTCAAACAGTGACATCACAGGGGGTCGGAGCACGGAAGAACAGGCCGTTATGCACCAGGTTTAAGAAGAACACCTTGGGATCGCCTAACCTGAACAAGACTGGAATTATTCACTGTTTCCATTTGATGCCAGATTCACCAAAACATTTGTAGTTCACCCTGTTGGTGACGACAGAGATGCGGAGATGTGGCTCTTTAACACAAACAGAACAGAAATAAAATGTGCGAAAAAAATGCTCCCCAGAGGATGAAATCGACTGACACAAGACAAACCTGACATTTTTGTTTGCTTTGTGATCATTTCAACCTTCAGGAGCTGCTAGAAGGACGTCAAACTTTTAGTACTATTCAAGTCTGACCTCTCCAAACATGTTCATCCTACACATCTGTTAATTTTCTCACTTTTCATTAAAATCTGCGAGATAATCAGTAGTGGAAGATGTACTCCTATCAGTTAGATAGTAGTAGTACCACAGTGTTAAGGTACTAACACTCCCATAACACGCACCAGAAGTGGCGTGCATTCAACAAGGGACTACCGAAATGAGCGAGTACTTCAGTACTTTATGTTTTTGATGCGTATCAATGCTGGGAAAATAGGACAATAGCACATCCTGAAGCGTTGGCACACATCAACCCGCAATGACACCTAACTGTGGGAACCATGTCTAGGTATTGAAGCATCCATCCTCTGACAGAGGAGGTTCAATAATGACACAGCCAGTATGCTACAATAGCATCCTCCATTTTGGACTCGGTTCACTCAGCATCGCCAAGACGGTTTCCTACTGGACAACGATGCAAATCTGCACATCAGAGGTCAACAAATTGGAAGCAAACATTTGTGTTAGTTTGCTAATCATTTTAAATAAACAGGTTTTGGTGCCAAATCAAGTTTGATTTTTGCTCAAACTTACCTCTAAAAATGTCTTAGAATGATCGTTTTTATATTTATAACATATAAAAGCCATATTCACTTTACAGTGGAAAAACAGGGTTCCTGTTCCTCTTTGATTGGCCCAGTGTATTTACCATTTCCAGGGGTGCATTGCCATCTTCGCTACAATGCTAATGCTTCTAGCATTACAATGTTTCTGAGGCGCAAACTGTTTTGGTAACAAACTTCATCAGCCGCATCAGGTTATTTCACTAGGCAAGAATCTTTTTTTGAAAATTTTGTTACTGTATAATTCTAGAAGTTCAACAAAGCCTTATTAGTTTACTAAACATATTTCAGATCATGTGTTGGTCAAAAGTAGCTCCACCCACAGAGATGAGCTCGAGTCAAAGTTAAAAAAATTAGACCTTAAGCCGTAGCCCTTCTCCACCCAGTGTGCCATGGGCAGGTACTTCCTCAGTCTTAAGACCGCGACGAACAGTTTGGAGAGTTCACACGTTTAAACTGAGCGAGACGTGTTGGTGATGTGGCACTATGTGGAAAAGGAGAACAACCACCACAGGACAGTTTCGGAGTTGTTACCCAAGAAAAGATGTTTGTGATCAGACAATGGTTCTTCTGACAAACTCATCAAAATCAGAGGTTACACAGTATTATTTTTAAAAAGTAATAGTCAAGCAAACATAATTTGACTGTCATTAATACTTTACTTTGAAGAGCTTTATTGTTTTTGTGTAATTCAAGCACATTCAAAAAACCAACACACAAAAACAATAAACAATAATAAAAATAAAATTCTTAGTAACAAAAGAACAGCACATACTGACTGCTTGAACTGTCCAAAAAATGTAATTAAGCTCTTAGCTCCTGGGACCCCAACCCCAGGACTTGATCCACTGGTGTTTGATAGGTTTCACATGTTAATATTTATTTTACTCAAGATGGGGACATTCGTTATTTACTATCATCATCTCTCAGATTTCCATCTCAGATCAACAGATAAAGAATATTTCTCAAAAATTTTACATCAATTTAAAGCCACAGTAGGTAAGTGAAGGCAGCACTGGCATGAAGCTCCAAATCAGCCCACCCTACTCCGCCCAGCGCTGCCTCTCCCCGCCACGCTCCGCCCAGCCCAGCGCTGCCTCTCCCCGCCCCACTCCGCCCAGCGCTGCGTCTCCCTGCCCCGCCCCACCACGCTATGCACCCAAACTCACTGATCAACCAATAATAACTGAAACTCTCTGACTGGTCAAAGGTCAGTCCTGCTCAAAACCTTTTAGAAGCTGAAATCTCTGCGCTGCTGTTCAGTGAGTCTGGGTCCAAGGAGGCATCGACAGCTTCTCTCCACCTTAGGACACGTGTTGGAGGTAATTTCTACAACAACTTCTGAAAACAAGTTACATACTGTAGCTTTAAGTAAATGTTAAATTACGCATCAAATTGTAGACCTAGTGTACACACATAAAGCTGATTCTGATTCTGATTCATAAATATCTGTGAACATAAAATTACTGTTGCTTTGCTCTGGGAACAATATTGTACCTCAAAAATAGTTTTCAATGTTTATTAAGATCTGTAGTTTAAAAAAATAGCAAATGGTGACAACAAATAATGAACGCCGACATCACCAGAAGAAGATCTGTCAAAAACTGATGCAAAAATATTTTCACAAATGTAGCAAAGTTAAACGAAGCTTCTCGTTTCTGAGGGTTTTCTTTAAATTAACTTTTTGCCGTTTCATTATTTTTAATTTGTGAATATTTATCTGAAGATTTGATTTCTCATTATTTTTGCCACCATCATCCCTTAAACATCTTTGCCATTAGATCAATTTCAGAATTTAATTTTGACACCAAAGTTATTCCGTACATCAATTTGAACAGTCCTTTTAAACAAGCATTTGAACAACAAGCTGTTTCATAGTATTTATTTATCTGAACACCTGGTGCCATGGTAACGTCTTGGATCTGACACTGAACCTAGTTCGTAGCCTACATGTACATTTATTGATCTGTCAAATGGTTTTTACACAGCATGGATCACTAGCACACACCACAACATCAACAGCTGCTTCACCTCTGTTACGTCATAATGTTATCGGCCAGGAAAGTAGATTCATTTTTGTACAAATGAAACAAACTCGACTTTTAAAAAATAACGAACAAAGGAATAAAAGTGTGATTGACCGTTTCAGCGACACACTTCCTCTCTGGTCCAGGTTTGAGCCCCCTCCCTGCATCATTCACACTGAGTCGCTCCTCTCTGCAATGCACAGTCATGGGTCATCTGTGCGCATGCGCACAGCCACATCCTGCTGATCAATAAATTTGGCCCAGACTGACCCGAGTTATGAATTAAAACCATCAGAGTTCCACAATCAATCGGGCCTAAACCTGATCAAACGTCTCTGACACGGATCAATACGTTCAATTAGCGTCGCTGCGACACACACACACACACACACACACACACAGCCGGATCTCGATAGTCCGGGCGAGACCTGGTCCGCATCAGGCCTACCTGGCGCACCGTCCGCTCCTTTTCCGCCTTTTGGGAATCTTCATCTGGGATTTTATTTCGGCACAAAACGTCCTGGTCCAGAAAACCCACCGTTCTTCTAAAGGCGGGCCGGGGTTTGGGCCTCAGACTCCCGCAGGACTAAACCACCATGTCTCCTCTAACAGTCCCCGCTATTTGACCCCTGTCCTCAGGCGGGCCGTCCGATGCAGAACCGGGAGTCCAGACAGAAACAAAAGCCAGACTTTATTCCCCCTCAGGGTCTAGGAGCGCTCAATAAAACCCCGCTGCTGTCCGGGTCCTCCACCGGCTCTGCGCCGATGCAGCTGAGGAGGGGGATGCGGGGTTACCGGTCCTCCTGCTGCTAGACCGGGTCCCGGAGTCGAGCCAAACCCAGATCAAGAACCCCAGTTAAGGCTGACCCGGGCTGGCCAGATGCAGTCTGAGGGTGTCCGGTTCTCCGGCTCCAGCCTGTTTGTCCGCACTGCAGCTCTGCCTCCACCGGCGTCAAACCGCCGCCACACAACCATAACATCCGGCCAGGGCTTTCAAAATAAAACTGCCTCATCACCTCCGTCAAGGAAAAACCGGAAGTTTTGTTGCATTCACTTGCTGTTACTTTGATATTTGTTTTTACAATTGGCACAGAATATTAACCTTATCATCGTTGTATTATTACTTCTTTATTCAACCCGCTTCACATAAATCTGTGCCACCACAGGTGACAAATGGGAGTATCCATCTGTGGCACACTGATGTGAACTCTGGTCTAGTTTCTGTTCTAACCTTAGTATCTATTGTATTGTATTCTGTGTATTTTTAAAATGTTTTATCCATCATTATGTTATACCAGTTTTTCATTGTCTTACCCATCTATCACATATCTAGCTGCAGAACCCACAGGAGCTTGGTTCACTCAGCGTCTCCTACTCCAGATGCTGGAGCTGTTTGTTGAAAACAGATGGGCTTTGAGGAGGAAACCTGCCCCCCCAGTGCAGCAGCGTGGCTCACTGGGGGTTTAATAGCTGCTGGACAACAGTGGAGGTCTACGGGACAGAGCAATGAGTTGGACCAGGGTCTGGACTCACACATATTACAGTGAGGACACTGCATTCACTGGTGTTGCTGGTCTCTGGACAGGGTTTAGGCAGAATTACACAAGTATACAAAATCACCAGCTGCATCCTTTAAGACTTGATTTTGGGATCAGGTCAGAATCTGGCTTAGATGCTATGAAAAGCTTTATATACAGAGACCAACATGTGTAATCACTGGCTCCCTGTAAAATTCAGAATAGAATTTAAAATCCTTCTCCTAAGATACAAAGCCCTTAATGACAAGGCTCCATCGTATCTTAAAGACCTCGTAGAGCCTTATCATCCTAACAGAGCACTTCGCTCTCAGAGTGCAGGTTTACTTATGGTTCCTAGAGTCCACAGAAGCAGAATGGGAGGCAGAGCCTTTAGCTATCAGGCTCCTCTCCTATGGAACCAACTCCCAGTCTCAGTTCGGGAGGCGGACACCCTCTCTACCTTTAAGATTAGACTTAAGACGTCCCTTTTTGATAAAGCTTATAGTTAGGGTGTTAGTTAATATTTTCAACATACCCGTAGTAGGGCATTAGAATATTTCATGGCACCATAACAACCAGTGTGGCTGAAGAGATAACATTGACAGTCAGTCACCAACCCTAACAAAAAGGGCCGGGGGCTGTCCTGACTGTATTTAACAGCAGCAGTGGGTGGTCAACAGGATGACCTTAGTTTGTGCCCACGCAGTAGTGTCTATAAAATCACTGGACGTGCATCCTACCACAGGTTTGGCTCCGAGTACCATCCCTCAGCTATAGGCCCAGGCTAGGGCTCCTCCCATGACGCTCGGGATTCTATTGAATTAACGTGAAATATTGCGCTGCGTTGTGTTTATTCTTGAAAACACCGGCCGGACACATCGACCTGTATTTACTGTTTCCGTCTTGACCCTGACTCTTCTTTATGAGCCAGCAGCAGATGAAGCAGGCCGGTGGAGCTGTTCTGTCCCACATTCTGGGCAGCACCTGAACGCCTCGCCGTTGCCTTCGTTTACCGTCGGGCCTTTTCTAACGTTGCCCTATTGTTGTTGTGTTGTCACGGGTTCACGCTCCCCTGCACGTCTGAACACGATTCTCTCCAGCATCAGCACCACACACGGACACACGCGCGCTTCCTCGGGCCCTCTATGTTGACGCTGTAGCTCCACACCGCCCCCTGCTGACCAGGAGCCTGTTCAGTGCACTAGACGAATATCAGCAGTAGAAAGTTGTATGTGGGCGAAGTATCAGCTGTAGAAGTAGGTTGTGGTAAATCAGTGACCAACAACAGTAACACACACACGGAGCTTAGAGGCATGTTGCTACTGCCCGACACAGTGATGACAAAACAAACTTCAGGTCCACTCATTTGATTGTTCTGGAGCTTTTGGCCACATCTCTCGGTCTTCATCAGCTCAGTCATCTTTAAACCGTGGATATTCATGTCCTTGTTCCTTGTCCAGAACACAGACAGACTGTGGACAAGAGAGAGAGGACACCCTGTGTCTCAGGTGCAGGGACAAGCCTCCAGCAGGGGGAGGCACCTGTGTTCATTTACACCTATGAAATCTTTTGTAATAGCAAAATGGACTAACTTCACTATTTAAATGCAAAATATCAAACATTTGAAGTGAGAATTTTACTCTTCTATAAAGTTTATCTTTGGAATTTGTTTAAAATATATTTGTTTAGTTTCCTGGGCTCTGCGCTCACTGTGGTCACCGCCTGTTGGATAGAAACAGACTTGTTTTGTGTGCGTTTGTGCTCAGAGAACAGGAGAAATAAAACTGACGAAGCATCAGTCTAAATATACTTTATGTGAAAATACTGATTTCCTTTGTGTTGAGGTACAAGACAGAAATATAAAAATATAACACTGGACATGACTCAGATCATACTGTTTACACACAGCACTGAATAAACATATCTGGTACTCAGAGATGATACTGACTGTAAAACCGAGCAGAAGTAACAGAATCTGCTTCCCTCCACACGTGTTTGTACACAAATGTTTTACATAGAGTTGAACGTCGGGTTCGCAAAGCTCCCGCTTGCCTGAGCTTCAGGATCGTTGTTCTCTGCAAAGTCCTCAGGGTCGAGATCGGCCTCGAACATCCGCTGCAGGAAGGCGTCCACCGTCCGATACCCTGACAGACAACACACACAGAATCAGCAACATCACCTACACTGACGATCAAAACTGTGTGTGTCTAATAGCTGGAGGACGACAGTGAAGGTCTACGGCACAGAGCAATAAGATGGACCAGGAGGCATGAGTGTATTTAATCTGACCCTATGAATGTGTTACAGGCGCTGTAAAGGGGCTGCCACTGTCATCAGTCCCTCTGGTTCCAGATTTGTAGATACATACCAGACACCAAGAACCCGCCCTTTCAAAATAAAAGCATGCACCTGGTACAATGTTCCTCCTGTTCTTGTCTGTATCCTAACATCATCTTGTCTCCATTTGTCCCTGGCCTGTGTTTACAGCTGCTTCTTACTTTTTGAAGCGATTTTAAACATCAGTGCGGGTTTGTTTGCGGTCGGTGACTGGCCAGTTCCCAGGTCGTTGTCAGAGGTTTCCATAGCGTTCACCAAGTTATCCTCCAGCTTCTCCCTGGGCGACAAAGCAACAGGGATGAACATGTTTAGGCCTCGGACCAATCAGACAATGGTATGAAACATCACCACCAGTTATCAGCTGTTAAAAAGGCCCCTTTACACACACACACAATCCCACTGGGCCATTAAGACACTACAAAATATTCCACATTATAAACCAAATACTCGTTACCCATTTAAAATGACAACACTACCTTCCAGACGATGCTCAGGGCAAAACAGACTCTTATAACCAGCTGAGGCAAATCAAGATTAAAAAAGGGGGAAATATTAAAGTTACTTATTCAAGTTACATTTAATAATTATCACTTAGTTCACATTTTTTTAACTTTAAATTAGTGGTTCCCAAACTGGGGTCTGAACCCCCACAAGTGGACACAAAACAACCCAAAGGGTCACCGGGAAGTGAACATGATGTGCGCTGAGGAAATGTCATGTACAACAATCCTTTTAAGGTTTCAGAATGCAGAATGAGCTTCATGGTTCTGGCCCATTTCTGACCCTGCTGGATATACAGTACTATATGTGTGTGTGTGGGTTTGCTGTTGCATTGGGGTTGAGTGACAGGACATACTGGGCCACAGCCAGCTCCAGTTCCTCGATCTTCCTCTCCAGAGCCGTCTGCAGGTCGCCCTTATCCACCGAGTACTCCACGTAGAACGCCTCAAGGACAAACGACACGAAGATACTGAAAGACAACAGGAAGTGGTGCGTTACATGATGAGTGAGCAGCCAAATCCACTCTGACTCTTCTGCGCCCGTAGACAAAAACAATATCTATATGCAAACACAAATAACTGCGTGTTACATTAAAATAATTTGCTTCCATCTAGTGTGGAAACGGTTTTCTGAGAGCTGCCACATCTGGTTCACGTTTACGGCTCTTTTCAGTTTCCTAAAATTAACTGTAATGAGAACGAACAGTGACGGCAACAGCAGCAGCGCCACCCACTGCTGATCACACACCATACCCATCCTTGCCAACAGTGTGATGCTGCTGGAGCCACTGAATTAGCTGTGGGCTACACTCGTTTGTTCATATTTGTTTCATTTTGGCAACTTTGCATCAACAGTAAGCAGAATTAGCCGTTAGCAGCTCCTGACTGCAGTACTCATGGATGGACAGACAACCATCAGTGGATTACTGCGAGACTAAAGACAGTTTCCTCCAGATGAGCCAGTAACAAAATTAACCACATTTAATGTAGGTCAGTTCTAGAGGCTGCACCTCAGTGAAGCTGGGGTGATGCTGTTAGTCTTACTTGATGATGACGATGACCACCAAAATGTGGAAGAGCACGAAGAAGATCCTGGCTGACATGTGGGTGACGGTGGCGAAGCCGCTGCTGAGCAGTGGAGCCTCGTTAAGGAGTCGCAGAGAGTTCGACACAATCTGACAACACAATCTGAATCACTGACTCGCAAATGTTCTCGAGAGGGATTTCACTTCTGTAAGACACAGAAACCACTGTGGAGCTCTTCAGACTTTAGAGATGAAGTCTTTCAACCTTTTCTAAACTCTATAGTCTTAAACAGAAGTGGAAAGTAAACACAAGTACAGTGTGAGCTACTTGTACTTTGAGTATTTCCATTTTGCTACTTTGTACTTCAACTCCACTACATTTCAGAGGGACGTGTGTTTTTTGTTCCACTGTATTAATCTGACTTGGTTACTAGTTACATTGCAGATAGAGACTAATAATATTATTTTTGTTATTAATCTGATGAACAAATGAATGAAAGAAGATTTTACTGATCCTTGGGGGGAAGCACAAGCTACCCAACAGTGTGGACAGTTAGCATTAGCTCCACCTTTACCAGCTGCAACAGTGAAGTGACGAACACAGCAATACATCAAATACATCAGTACTTATAATCCAGTGATCTCATAAATTCTGAAAGGGGCCGTTAGTTAAACTACCCTTAGAAATGAAAACCAGTTAGATCCTCCATAATATTAGCTCAGGAGGCTAATGTTTGCTACTATCCAGGAGCAAAGAAAAGCTGCAACTGACTCTTGTAAACATGGCATGACAGTGTTTTCCAACATGTCTACTGTCAGAAATGCACAAATCTTAAGAACTGAGACTGGTGCCACAGCCAGCAGGGTTTCTGTTCCCAGTGGCAGCGTGTGAGGCGTTCAGGTACAGTAAAGGATATCGTGCCACTGGTTGACCACCGTGAGCTCCACCAGCAGGATGAAGGAGGACGCTATGTTGTTAAAGTTGTTCTTGCAGTAGTTGAGTTGTGCGAAGGCCGTTCCGTTCAGAAGGGGGTTTCCACAGTACACCTTGGCCGGGTTCATAAAACCTCACCTTCCCTTTGAACAACTCCATCCCCACCATGGCAAAGACGTAGTAGATCACCTGAGGAGGAGAGCAGCCCAGTCAGAGCCAGCTTTGCTACCAGGGGGCTAACTCGAGCTCTGCGGACGCCAGTGTCCGTCGGGCTGGTCCACCCTGAAATATCTCAACAACTGTTAGCTGGATAATCATGAAATCTGGTTCAAACATCTTTGTCCCCCTCAGGGTGAACCAGTAATCCTCTGTCTTTTCATGGTCTTTCATTTGTCCTGGACTTTGGTTTATGAGCCAATACCAGCTAAACTAATCCCTATCAGCCTCCTTTATTTTATTACTAATTAGCTAAAACACAGTAAACCTCAGCAAGTTAGCATTAGCACAGGAGCATGTAGGCATAGCTAACGACACAGAGCTAAAGTGCGTCTACGTACAGCCTCACAGAGCTGCTAGCACAGCTGGAGGCTCTCAACCGACTGCAGTGTTGCTCCCAAACACACATCCCACACTCCTCCTCAAACAGGTGCTGTCTTTAATCATGTGGCGGTGCGTCAGCTGTGAGAGTTCACAAAGTGCACCTCTCTCCTCTGCATCTGAGGAAACACTGTGCAAATGTGAGGAGACGTGCACCGATGTCACGCTGTTTGCAGCTGTCAGTTTTGTGCTGAGCTTCTCTGAAAAGGAGGCGAAAACAGACCAGATTTACATTCAAGTAGCTGGGCTGAGAAACAATGCATTCATATTTGCACAAGCTGCACTGAAGGAAGTAATGGTACAAATAAATGTAGAGAATCCACATTTAACTCTTATTTAGTGAGTCACAATACAATCACATTGTTGAACCATGGATAATATTCACACAGTGTTTGTGTGGTTGAAATCCTTCAGAGACACTGAGGTAAACATGTGATGCATTTTGTTAACATGCTGTCACACTATGTGGACCACCTGCATGCGCTCATCTAGAACAACGAGGTGTTTCTGCAGACGCAGGCCGAGTGTTTCAAGCATCAGCAGCAGAACGAAGTTCAGGAGAGAAGCAGGGTACAGTGATTCTTTCATCACACATCCCTTTCTTAGAGGATGTATCAGGAACAGGAGAGAATTTTTAAATCAGCCAGTGTGCATAAACAAGTAAATATGGACAATGCAACTTTATAAAATTAGACAATTACCATTAAAATATGAACAACCCATTCACAGGAAGTTAGAATAACTGAACTTAGATGACCTGCTGTACCCGCTCAGAGGCAACTGTCGTTAGGTTTCTCATATAATCTATTGCCATCATCATGTATAGGAAGGTTGAGTGTACGTGTGATGGGAGTGGTTACCATGGAGACAGCATGATGCCAATGAACAGGTTTTAATAGCAGTATCTTCGGCCAAATTATTACAGCCTATTACAAAAAACACCAAGTCCGAATGCAGTCAGTGCTCCAGTCCAAGTCGACTAACGAGTCTTGAAAATCTGGACTCGAGTGCTACAACAGTGCTAAGTACATCAGTGCTGAAGACACCAACTGCACAAAGTCGATAACCCCGGGAGGACACCAACGGTCTAGCAACAGTTAACTGACTATTAGCAACTCACGAGGATGAGCTGTCCAAAGGTGAGGATGGCCGGTCCAATCCTGATCAGGGTGTTGATGATTGTGCGAAACCTAACAGGGAACACAGTCCTCATCGTTAGCACGACATCACATTCAGACAGAGAAAACACAACATGTAAAACAGCACCAGACAAGACAGACGAGTGAGTGAAGACTGTCTGAAACTAACAGCAGCCATCTCATCTGACTGTGTCTGCATCTCTATGCAACCTGGCTCCCTGCATTAGCGCCGGGGCCTTGGACGGTGGTGTAGAACCCACCAGCTGCTCAGAGAGAGGTCGTTTTTGATGGTTTAAATAACTGAATCAGTCAAAAATGTTGTGAAAGATCAAACCTCCCAATGCTGTCCACCACCCGGATCAGTCTGAGGACTCGCAGGATGAAGACGATGTCCAGGATCTGTCGGCTGGTGTAACCCCCCGCTACAACAGGACAGGAAGAAGTGTTTAGAAAGACAGACTGTCTCTGTTGTCCCAGGAGAGTATTTCTAAATCTGGGCTTGTGGATAAAAAACTGGCTTTAAAATGATTTGTCTCTAAAATGTCACAAGCTGGTGAGAAAAGTCCAGTGTGATGTCTTCAAAGGTCTGTTTCTTGTTCTGTCTGACCAACTGTCCAGAACACAGACACACGGTTTATGGTTATACTGTTTAAAATGATGCAAACCTGAGACGCTGTCAGTTTTAATTGTAAACAATCAGCAGTTAATTAAATATATTCAGAAGCACAGAGCACCTCAGTGCATCTGCTTTAAGCTGCCACTGAAGCCGTCTCCAACCCAACAGCACTCACATGACTTCAGGGTGGAGTTGACGATGGTGGCGATGAGCGCAGAGATGACGATGGTGGTGTCAAACCTGCAAACAGAAAACAAACATTAGAAGACAAAAAGTTCAAGCTGAGCTTCAAAAACACTTTTCTTCAACAGTGATGACGCTGAAAGCGAAAGCAGCGTTGGCTGCAAGTGAAGCTGCTCGTTTCCCACCCCCTTTGTGTTCACTCCCGCCATCACCGACATGTCGAACAACAGAAGCATCGGTTTGTGAAACATGTTGTTTCTCCAGGTGCTGAGTCCAAAAGAAGCTGATAGTTTCTCACAACTCTGTCAACTGCTTCCATAAAAAAATCTTTTACGGTTAGAAAGAAAGAACGTTTCCAAGATTTCTCAGAGGGAGCAGTCACCGAGTTGTGAGTCTGTGGGAAAACACACTGAACATCAGAAACATACCACGGCTGAGTTAAGAGAGCTGGACACGGCGCCGCCAGTTTGTCCCAGTGGTGACTGGTGGTGCTGCAGCTCAGGAATCATTTTATCCACAGAGCACATATACACTCACCGGCCACATTATTAGGGACACCTGTACAACTGTACGCACTTCAGTGAGGTCACAGTTAAAGGTGATGTTGTACTGCACTGCATTATATTCAGAGGTGTTCCTAATATTCTGACCCCGTCATGAATGTACCTGGGGAGGACAAAAATATAAAGACACCTCTGAATGTAGTGTAGTCCAGTACAACAGCACCTCTATGACCTCAGTAATAAACATAGTTTATACATTTATGGCAATTTAACCAAAACCTGAAACATGTTGAGCTTCATAAACAGTTAAGGCAGAAGTGTTGCACAGTTGTTCCTAATAAAGTGGCTAGTGAGTGTATAAGAGACAAATTTGTATGTTTGTGTTATTTTCCTTCACCGTAATGTGTGAGAGTCCAGACCCTGGTGTTCTGGTCTGTGCCGTCGACCTCCACTGTTGTCCACCAACTGTTTTTATATTTGTAAAACCTTGCCGGGTTTAGAAGTGATTTTTATGTGTGTGATGACGCACTTTTCCTTTTTGTCCAGCGCTGCTGTACAATGTTTCCTTGGCTTGATCTCAAATGCCAGAAAACCTTTTGGCTGATCAGCTGGGCGAATATCCCGGAGCCCCGTGTCCAGCTGCGATAAAACATCCGTAAAACACACAAACACCAGAATCTGACTGACGTCGCTGCAGCTGCAGTGCTCACCAGCAGGGGGCTGTAACCCAGCAAAACTGCTAAAGGAAACTGTCAACAGCTGCAGCAGAAGAGTTTCAGATGGCTGAGGTATCCACTTTATTAGGTACACCTATACAATCTGATGCAGCCTGATTTTAGCTGTAAAGTCGACTTTTATGATGCCTCGGTTTCTGACACATTTTGACCCTGAGGTCTCAGTGATGGGGTTCTACTGGACTGTGATCTACTGACAAGTGTTTCTAATATTCTGGCACCAAATCAGAAACATCTCTTAGCATAATGCAGTCGGCACCACCAGCTACGACCTCAGCAATAAACACATGACCAGTAAGAGCTACATAAAGAAACATGGCAGTGCTGTTGCACTGGACTGCATTAGCTTGTACAGGTGTTCCTAATAAAGTGGCCACAAAGGATAAACAAGATGGTGCAACAGGAACTGCAGGCTGAGGTCGTCCCCATCAAACAGCCAGAGAAAGACTCTGAGCCGGTTTGGTTTATTTTTAGACAGTTTTGACTTTCAGACCTTTTCATCCTGAACCAAACTAATGATAAAAGATAAATCAATTCATCTGCGGCCTCAAGCGTCAGAGAGCTGCTGCGAGCGCTCCAGGCGTCTGGCTGGAGAGAAAAGCAGCAGCAAACACTGAAACATGTGTCACATACCTTGTGCTTATAATCTGCGACGTGGACAAGCTGTGTGAAACGGATGCGACAACTCATTGTACAGTGTTAATGTTTGCATCGTGAGCTTAACAGCAAGGACCAAACTATTTTACCAAACTATCCACATCTTCATCGGCCTCAAACAACTTTTTCAGTCAATCTAACAAAACAAAATGTTAAAAAAGTGAAACGACAAAGACACCAGACAGACATTTTGTGTATGAGCAGCGAGGGAGATGCTGAACCTGCAGCTGGGTGACCAAGTTGACATCTGACATCTGTGAATAAAAAGATCAATCAGACAATAATCAGTGACCCCTGCTGTTTGTATTTGCACCCAGTTACTCTGGAGTTTCATTTATTCGTCGCCGTCTGTATCCGAGTCTGGACCCACAGACAAACTGAACCATCTGATGCCTGATCGACCTCGGCCCCAGAGTGTGGAGCCTCTTCAGCTCATTCACATCAACACAGGTTATAACGAACCTCCGGCTACCTGTACTCCGAGTCCTGTGGCTATCTGGGACTGTGTGAAATTCAAGCTGGCTCCTACGGTAACCCTGACAGGAAGTGGAGATGGTGCATGTGGTCAGCTCACCAGTTCCAGAAGCTGTGTTTGGAGAAGAAGCTCCTGGGTTCGAAGACGTACCAGCAGATAGAGAGCCAGGAAAACCCACTCGGAGTTGGCGATCATCGGATTCTCTTCGTCCAGACCGATGAACACGGCGTTGACCAGGATGATCAGGTCGTACACGATCACGAAGCCCCTGATACACGACAGACACAGCAGAGCAGACACATGCTGCCATTGTGTCACAGGTCCACAACAGTCTCCCAGAGGAGGTCCCTCACTCAAGTACTGCACCTCAGTACAGTTCTGAGGAACTCGTGTACTTGAGTATTTCCATGTTATGAGGCTCAAGAACAGTTTCGAATGTAGGACTTTTACTTGTAACAGAGTATTTCTATTTTTACCTTAGTATAAGATCTGAGTACTTCTTCAGCGACTGAGTTCAGGGCATGTAGTTATTTTTATTGTATCCTTGGTATTTTATCGCTGTAAAGCATGTTGATGTGCACGTGTTGCTTGAACTACTGAGACAGATAAAATCAAAAGCCCATCAGTCTCACCGGTGTTGGACCAATCGGCAAAGGAGGCGGCTGGGGCCTGACAGGTAGAAGGCGGGGCATAAACTCTGAAGTGGGTGTGGCCTCGACTTGAGCGTGATCACCTCGATGTTCAGGAGGTCGGCGAGCTGGACAAACGCCAACTTACCTGTCAATCAAACGACAACAGAAAAATAAAAACATAAAATACTATGAATCATCCACAGTGTGGAACATTTGAATCACGTTGTAGAACCAACGTTTTATAATGTAATCAAACATTTTAATGTTATAAACAAAATCATTATGAACACTTTGCATTCATATATAAATGAACCAACAATTTGCAAAACAACTGAAGAAATGACTCAACCAATACTCAGTATTATGAAATACTGCTGCATCAGCACTTACTGAGGAGTTTGTTATTCAGCCTGGCTTCACTGATATGTATGGGGTGGACAAAATACCAGAAACACCTCTCTGGAGAGCAGCACAAACTGCAGCCTCCACAGTGACCACACAGGTGAACAACACCTCTGAACACAAACTGAACATCGCCGTCACGATGGAGTGTTTACTGCAAGACTGTTGGCCCAGACTGAGTCAGCCTGACACCCGCATGCACCCACTTCAGACTCCTTCAGGCCCACTCCACCAGACTTACAAACAGCTTCATCCACCAGGCTGTGAGGATGCTGAACACTGTCCATTACCCCCCCGCCCCGGACCATAACCCACCACAGAACATAAAAACACATATAAAGACTACCCCTGCTGTTGCACAAACTCAATACATTCCCCCTTTTTGTTATATTATATGTGAACCTGCTGCTGACTGTTCTTTTTACCATCATATCTGCTGCTGTTGGTCATTTGCATTACTGTCCATGTACATCTCATAAGCTATTATGCATCTCATCACCAAGGCCCCTGGTGATGCTGACCACCTGACAATCTTCTTATTATTTGCACTACTGTCAATGTTTGCACATGACTTGAGTTTCATCATAGCCTATTAGGTTGTACCATCTAGTTTATCCTTATTACTTGATCTCAGTTTTCATATTCTGTTTATTCTTCTTTTATTCTGTTTTATGGTTTGGGCATTCAACATTAGTTGAGAGAGAAACGGTATTTTTCTGCATGTCCTGTACACATAGTGAATTGACAATAAAATATGTTTGATCTTGATCTGTTCCCATGTCCTGTACACATAGTGAATTGACAATAAAATAGGTTTGATCTTGATCTGTTCCCATGTCCTGTACACATAGTGAATTGACAATAAAATAGGTTTGATCTTGATCTGTTCCCATGTCCTGCGCTGACAAACTGCTGTTTGTCTTTCTGGTCAGTTGCATCAGGTTTTTCTCAGCTCTGCACTGAACATGATGATGAAGTAGAGTCTGACTTCCTCCACATGCAAGATGAGTTTGAAGATAGTGAGTCAGCAGAAGGCCGTGAGGCGCAGTTCGCCATCTGAGAGCGGCTGTGGCTGTGACACAGCGGAGTCTGAAGGAAGCCTCAGCTCGGAGGCCGAGATGATCATGAGCAAGAGCTACTCAGAACGTTTACTTAAGTAAAGCAGCAGTACCACACTGTGAAAATACAGCAACAAAAGTAAAAGCCCTGCCTTAAAAACCTTAAGCAAAACTGTATTTTCATCCAAATGCATTTAAAGTATCAAACTAAAAGTAGTGTTTAGAAAAACGTCCCCGTCGGTGGTTTAATGTACATGTTGAACACTAGTCCTAGCTCTTTTAGCTACTTCACATACTGTGAGCAGCTTCATATTCACCAATACATCAGAGGTTATATCTGCCTGTGAGATGTCAAAGATCAAAGGTCAAATGTAGTGTGATGTAGTGGTAGTATAAAGTTTCATAACTCAAATACAAGTACCTCACATTTGTAGTTAACAGTAGTTAGTGACGCACAGCGGTTAGCCGCTGCCTCAGAACGATTCCATCACTGTCAGACTCTCTTCTCTCTGATGTGAAGGCGACGTAGATGATGTCTCAATGTATCGGCACTTCTGAAATCACACCTGTGTGTGTGTGTGTGCGTGCATGTGCGTGTGCGTGTGTGTGAGAGAGACCCACCGATGAAGCCCTGGTTCTTGTCATCGCACACGTTCCACAGCAGCTCTCTGTGGGGGTTACTGATGCTGGGCTGGACCAGTCGGACCACCTGGTTCCAGTTGGCGTGGGTCACCACTGGCCCCCTGCCCTCCTCCCTGCTCTCCTGTAAAACAGCAAACGCTCGCACCATCTTGTGCCTTTTGGCCCTCACCAGCTGCCGTACCTCTTCCTGTTGGACACAGAGGAGTTAGTCATTCTGTAACCGAGGAGAACACAGCGTTGGCCTTCTGCAAGCAGAGCAGAGCTGACATGACTTTCAAATGTTAGATTTTTACTGTCAGTGATGAATCTGTTAACGTACCACCTGAACACATCCGGTCTGTACGCAGCCGACTCGCACAGAACACCGCTGCAGAGCTGAACGCGGCTGTAGATTCACAATATGCTGGAAACTGTGCTTCAGGCCTTGTCCCGACAGCAGTTGCAGACGAATTTTAAACCGGTGCTCAAGAACAAGTGACCAAAAATCAAACCAGGACAACGTGGTTATCGACAACCCGATAAACGCGGCCCTGCTCTGCCAAAGTGTTCAAAAATCTTTTGGGTCTTATAATCAGGGTCGTCTTGGATTCGGGCAGAGTTGAAGTGGTGTAACCAAACCTGTGGACAGGGGGATTTACTAACTGCCTACAAATAACCACCGATATGCATCAGAGCGGTCACTGCAGTTAGTCATGTGACAGTCCTTCACATAATCTGTGGTGTTCACTGACTTTTCACACAGGCAAAAAAAAATATCACAGGAACCCTGCACCAGCTCTGAGGACAGGTGCTGTGTAAACATATCGCTCCATAACCTGCGAGATTCACAGTTCACACAATCACAAATAAAGTGACAACATTAATGCAACTTTGTCCACAAGAAAAAAAAGCCACCTGCCACCGATTACACTGCTTATCGCTGCCAGCTGCAGGAAGACGAATCCCCAGAAGGAGCCATGACATTAGATAAGGCCCAGCAGACGAGGCTGATCAGCGGTGGAGGACGTTCTCAGATTTAGAACGCTGCAAGTCAAGGCCGAACACATGTGTGAGAGCTCACTCTGCCACTGAGACATTACTACTGATGCATTTACCTGCTGTTAGTCACAGGCTGCTCAATCCCACCTACTGTACCCCAGCCAGTTTTGACAACTTTCATATTTCACCCATATAATGTTCACGACACCCAGTTTCAGGATAAACTACCACAAACACAAAGCAACCCTGTGGCAGGGCAGCACTGCATTCTGGGAGCACCGAGTACCAACTCTGGGAGAAATGTGCTGGTAAACAGAGTCTGAACTAACACTCGGCTGTTTCTTCTGTCACACCGTGTTCACGCTGCATGGACACTGAAACCACTTCTCTCTGTTGGACACTCGTACCTTCAGGTATTTTTTGTAGTTGTTGAAGACGACGGCCAAAAAGGCAGACATGAAGATGTAGGTGTTGATGAAGATGTACAGGATGAAAAAGAGGGTAAACAGGAAGCTGGAGTTGTACGCCGGCATCCTGCCAATGAGATGCACAGAATAAGATGCACACATGTCAGATACAAAGACAAACAAAACAAAGTCTGGCCTCTTTGGGTACATCCCAACTCCTATATTTAATCATTCGCTGTGGCTCAATGCTCCCTTGAACCCGTTCCAGTCCCCAAAGCTCTTACTCCTGTCTTTATGGAGCAACACGCCCCTTTATCTGAAATCAGTTGGTGACTGGACACTTCAGCTGAAGGATCAGAGGAAGGATGTCTCATGTCTCTACAACACGTTTCCCTTCCTTGCATCTTACAAGACACAAGTGAAGGAAACATGGATACAACTAAGGGAATTGGGATGAACCCAAAGTGCTAATGTGAATCCACCTCTGATTATAAACTGTGTTGCTCTGCTCACCTAGCATTAGCATTAGCACACCTGATCATTCAGAAGCTGATTCACTAAAATCCTGTTGATTTTGGGGGGGATTGTCTTGAGAGGAGAAGCTAACATGTCACGACGCAGAGGAGAAGCTAACACGTCAACCTAGTGACTTTGCTTCTCCTGAACAGCAGATTTTATTTGCTGAAGGAGGAAATGGTTTTATTTATCAGGAGCTACAGTTTGTCATTTCCCAGATGCGACAGGACTTCACAATAAAACACTAACTGGGTAATTAGTGGTCCAAATGTTAAATTATCAATTAGCTTTTATTTGTCAAGTTTTCATTTTCAAATGTTACTTTTTAAATTTAGTTGTAGTTGCATATACTTATTGAATATTAAATTACAAATTAATATTTTTCATCACCGTTTGCGTAGACAAAAGGTTCCAGTGCCGTGGAGCTGTGCATCATCACGTGGGTGACCTGAGTGGCTTCATTGACCCCCAGATGTCAGCACAATACAGTTGTGAACTGCAGCTCTGCTAAGTCTGATGCAGTAAAAATGAAGCAGTACTTCAGCCATGTGGGAGTCTTTGGAGAGCCACACGTGCCACGGTCAGGGTCAGGTCGCATTTTAACAACTGGTCCCAGTACCAGGATCACTGGGGTGGAAAGGGTTAAAAAAGGGTTTGGTTCTATAGGGAACGTCTGTTAGAGCTCCAGTATCTGAATGTAAACACAACCTGTTTGTTTACAGAAATGTTCCACGGGCACCTTTAAACCGGCCTGACCTCGGATCAGCTCAGTGGTCAAACACTGAAGAGACGATCTCATAAATGTCTTACATGACGTCGGGGCTGTTGGCTGTGGTGACGAGGACGTACAGATCGAAGACGATCTCCAGGTAGTCGGTGAAGTATGGCGACCCATCAGTGGTCTTCAGGCCTCTGCAGAACACACACACTTCATCATTTAACTGCACACTTTCACACTGAACTGAACCAGTCTGAATGCAGATTAAAGAGACGAGTGGATGTTAATGAGCTCGTCTGGGTCAAATATTACAAGCTATTTGTTTTGCCTCTCAGGATTGGTGCAGGCTTACTGCTGGAGGCTGCTGGGACCAGTAACTGCATCACCAATACACCAATGACAGCTCTAATAGTTTTAAATTATCGTTATTATGAAAAGCACAATTTCATAAAAATAGAGCTGAAACAATTGATTCATAAGCCAACAGACAATAAAATAGCAACTCTACTGATAATCGATTCACCTTTGTTTCCTTATTTACATCATGATAAACTGAATATCTTTTGGTTTTGAACTGTTGATTGACCAAGCATCACATAGTAGATACTTTTTACAAGGCAAAAGATTCATTGATTAATCAGAATAATGATTATTCAACAATGAAGACAATCATGACTCGCCGTCCCAGTGCACAGCTTCAATGTGCCAGATTTACTCAACGCCTGGAGGTCAACCAACATTCAAAGCTCAGGTGGCCTCTGTTTCAAAATAACTTGTGGGAGAAACAAAAGGCGGCCTCTCACCGCTTGCCCAGTAGTTTTAGAGCCATGAGGGAGAAGATGAGGACGCTGAACATGAAGAGCAGGAAGACATAGAAGATCTCAGGCAAAGCGTTGCGGATGCTTCGGAACGCTCTGCGGAGCTGAACACAAACAAACATCACTCGCCTTTGCTGTTTTGTCTCTTTATGGTCGTTTGCCATCTGTGTCTCTATGCACTTATTTTGTATCATGTCAGTCATTTTTTGTCTTTTTGTGGTCACTTTGTCTTTGTTTCTTTTAGCTGAGTTGTGCGACTTTCAAACAATATTAACAGTACCTTCATACAGAGACCAGGGGCCCCACGCCCTCTCTGCACATAAAGATATATTTTCTGCCACGGGACCCACAGAGTGCTGTCTATCTTACAGCCAAGACAAAGGTGTGCCCGTTACCTGTCGACCCTCTGTGACATTGACCAACAGGAGCGGACGCAGGACTCTGGACCAGCGGACGGCGTAATAGTCTGTAGCTTTCAGCGCTCCGTAGATGATCATGTCGATCAGAGTGAGCTGCAAAGAGCAGAAGAACAAAGTGTCATCAGCTGCACATGAGCACGTGGTTTCATGTCTGACGGAGCTTCTTGTTTCAGTGACGTTATCAAAGTGAACATAGTACATTTCGGTTTCTCTTGGTTTCTTATGTCAAAGGTTTTCCATGATTCACTGAGGCTGATTCATTCATACATAGAAACTTCAGCTGCAAGTAAATAGGTTTAGTTTTTAAGTCAAATCACATCATCTCAATAACGCCCTTAACACAGAGACTAAGGTGAATCATCAACTAACCCCGGACACGTCAAACGTCAACCTCCCAGTTCTGTCAGACGGATTTCTCTAGGACCAACAACTCAGTGCAAACTGCGCTTGAACAAGCAAATTAGCTGCATGAGAATAAACTATACTGCTCAAAAAAATAAAGGGAACACAACATAAGACATCCTAGATCTGATGTGTTCCCTTTATTTTTTTGAGCAGTGTATATATTAACTGAATTATTTTAGCCTGAAAACAGATAATGATTATTTTCATAGTCAGTTAATCATTTTGTCTAGAAAATTCCAGAAAACAAACTCCCAAAGATATTTAGTTCACAATGATCTGACAGAGTGAGGCAGGAAAATGCAATTTATTGCTAGTTTTGCCTGAAAAATGAGTTAAATGATTAGTTGACTATTTTTCTGCTGATTGATTAATCACTGCAGCTGTAGTTGAGCCACATACAACCACCTCGACACCACGACACAACAGTAGTTAGAGACAAAAATCCTGATGTCCCATATTAAATGGAGCAAACAGGGAACGACGAAACATCCCCAGACGACAGCAGAGTGAGAGTTTCTTATAGGTCCAGTCGGTGTGCGACAGTAAAGAGGAGAATGCATCCTGAGGTGATCAGGGGCCTCGGTGCCACCAGGAAGCTTTTCTGCCTTAAAGGCGCTGACGAGGCAACATCTCAGCTAAAGGCTGTTTCACAACAACCGGCAGAAAGTCTGACTCTGCAGCTCTCGGACAGGAAATCTGCTCAGCGCCCGGCAATGGCTTTCACGCCAAAAACCAGGAACTCTTCAGGGCCCAACGGTCAACAGGCCTGCTGGCAGGAGAACCCACTCACTGCTGTTAGAAAATAGAAATCAAGCCATTTTCAAAAATGTTTTAAACTACTTTCAAAGATGAAATGACCAAGTCCACCTAAACAGCAAAGCAAAACAAAGGTCAAGATGCCCTGACAGGCTGAACACAGGCTGCTCTGCCCGACAGAAAACAGCAGGTGGTGGTCTGAAGTACAAAACACTGTATGAAGGCCACGATATGCTAACCCCTGGACATAGGAATAAAGCTTACCTCTCACACTAAGGTGGCATATTTGAAACATATTAAAGCTCCAAACACTGCTTGAGGTTGTATGATGGAGATATTCACTCAGTCATTGACTACCATGAACCTGTGAACAGAGTTCCCTGCAGACCTCCCTCTTTAATGTTATTAATTCAGGATAAGACCCCAAACCTCCCAAATAACAACATCCTGCAGTTTATTGTGGCAGCTACCTCCTTAAACCCTCAGATGTCACTGTACTGAGAAATTTTTATAAGCCAGTACACTCTGGCTCTTTGAGGAAGTGTTAAATTTAGTCTGAAATAACCAATGAAAGCTGTGTCACTGGACACTTAAGACCATATTTGTTTTGCACAGTATTTAGTTGACCTAAGATGTTATTAAAGATAGGATGTTTAAAGAATAGTGTGTAGTATGTAACAAGTAAACAGTTGGATATTTTAGATAAACCCTTTTCTGATGAAGCTGTCTAAAAGTCATTTTAGCAGTTCAGTCTGGGCCTTCTGTCAACCCTGTGAATCGTTATGCGACCTCACACACTCACTAAGACTTATGTAACCCCAACTCACTGGGAATTGGGTAACCAAACCCTGAGAAATGTGTGTCTTAACTATTACCACTGAAAAGGGTTAACTCATCTTGTTTACTACATCCATTTTCCCTTCACAGCATTAGTAGCCCCTCCCACCACACAGATTATGTCACCAAGCCCCTCCTACCACGAGGATGGCGATGATGCAGATGTTTTTGGGGTCTTTCCAGAACTTGTCTCGAGGGATCACCTTGGCGTAGTGAACGAGCCGGATGGTGAAGACGAGCAGGCAGAGCAGCTCCACCAGCATGGTCGCCTGAAATACAACAACACAGCAACAACACAGCAAAAAGTAACGGCTCATTAACATTTAAAGAAAGGTGCAATTTTCCTGAAGTGGCCAAACTTTTGCATATAACAAAGTTTATCCTTCCAATTCTATTCACATGTGAACACAAAACAGTGACGTATCCACAAGCTATTACAATTATTTTTAGCAGATCGTTCAAAAATGTTCCATTCAAAGACAAACTGTCCTCACACAGAAGTGAAGAGACTCTACGTTTACAAAAACATTAATTAACATGTGATAAAAGTGACAATGAAATAAGTGAACAGACAGCATGTATCCAATAACTGGAGTCCCATTCCAGAATCAGATGAATCAAACCAAACCCAGTAGAACCATCAGACTCTATTGATCCCAGTAGGAAATCCACCAGCTACCCAGCAGGATGGAAAGTACTTCCCAGTATAAGTATATAAGGTAGTTACCATCAGCTCCACCTTTACCAGCTGCAGCATTAAAGTGATGGACACAGTAATTAGTCACTATGATCCAGTATCAGAGACGTTACTGGGACACGGGCCGTTCTGCTGGACGAGTACTGGTACTGCTGGTACTTTGTTTTTTATTTTGTTGTTGGTGGTGTTAATACTTTGGTACTTACAGCAAGTAACATCTTGAATGCAGGACTTTTACTTGTGGTATTACTACATTTGCTTAAGTAAAGAATCTGAGTGCGTCGTCCACCTCTGGTCGGTGTGAAGATCCTGCTGTGATGATGTGGGACCATACTTGTTGGCCCTGGCTTCTCCTCGTTGGTCTTTGCATAATTATGTTTCTAAAATTACAGGGTCTGCATGTTGTGCTAGTCTTTTGACTGAAACAACATTTCGTCGCTTTTATTCATTGCATCACTTTTCTGGAATGTTGCTTTGGTTGCAACTGTAGGACGTCTCCTCTTCCCTGACGACGTGTGACCAGTTTTCTGTGAATGAAATAATTGTTTCTGGACACTAGCACCTGATATCATTGTTTGAAAAGCCTGGATTCAAGAGCACAAACCTAGTAACAACTCTTAACAATTAAAAAGTGAAAAACAGATGGTGATAATTCTGCTGTGGCCGGGCCTTTTTTAACTCTTACACCGTGGTCTCTGCTCTAACTGCCAGCACAGCTAACATGTTAGCATGCTAGCATGATGACAGCTCAGACAGACAGCAGTTTTGAATTATCCCAACCTGCCTTCATGCCTCTGTTAGCATTTAGCATCGTTAGCAGGCTTCACTGAAGCCACGATGGATCACCACGCTCATTGGTGCTGACTAAGCTTTTTCTAGCTGCAATTCTTTTCTTCTGATGAATTTCACATAAGAAGAGGAAGTATAAAACTAGGGCTGTGTTTGTGTGTCAGATACAGTGGAGGCCTTCTCACCCATGTGGGCAGAGGGACGACAGCTGGATCCTCGAAGATGGCCAGAGACAGATCCACCAGGATGAAGAAGTAGAGAAGCACCTTAGGAAGCCAGTGGTTGTAGAGCAGATACAGTCTGAAAACACACACAGGGTGGCAGAGCTGCAATGCCCAAGTAAAGAGATTCAACGCAAACATAAAGCCCATGTTATCGTATATTGTTCTTCTTGTAAGCACCAAGTGAAAACCCAGACCAACAAGGTGCTAGTTTGTCTCTCAACACTTTGACTTCCTCCTTCTCATGTCATTGGTTCCTGTTGGAAATGCTAATCTTTAAAACACTTGATAAAAACATAAAAGTGTCATATGTTTCCTCAGCTGCTCACTGTAGTATTTATCAGACAAACATGAGGAGACAATCAATGTGTTGGGGACTATTTTCAACGGCGGATGAATCCACATTTGGTCTCTAGTGAGTGTTTGTGGCACCAGGACGGTGTGTGTGTGTGTGTGTGTGTGTGTGTGTGACCGAGTCAGAGTAAACTCCACTGTGTGTGTTCATGGTGATGAAGGAACATGTCACCAGTGTGGTCACTGGTGGGTTTACTGGTTTCTGGTCCCAGTGGAGCTGTGTGGCCCAGAGGGAGGACTGGGGTCAGGCCGTGGCACACACACAGGGCAGCTGAAGGAGAATTTAATGGACCACTTTTAAATTTAAACCAGTTTCTCCAAGTCTGCTCCTGTTAACATGCAACTTGACTCAACATCAAGGTGTGGGAAACAGAAAGGAGTGAAAACTCATTCAGCAGAATCAACACAGCGACCTAGAGGACCGACGCCACAGCGACCTAGAGGACCAGAGGACCAACGCCACAGCGACCTAGAGGATCAGAGGACCGACGCCACAGCGACCTAGAGGACCGACGCCACAGCGACCTAGAGGACCTAGAGGACCAACGCCGACGACACGACACAGCGACCTAGAGGACCGACGCAACAGCGACCTAGAGGACCAGAGGACCGACGCCACAGCGACCTAGAGGACCAGAGGACCGACGCCACAGCGACCTAGAGGACCAGAGGACCGACGCCACAGCGACCTAGAGGACCAGAGGACCGACGCCACAGCGACCTAGAGGACCGACGCCGACGACACAGCGACCCAGAGCAGCGCTGCTTGGATTTTCACACTCACCAGTTATGAACAACACTTTCAATAAGCGAAGCATGTGATTTAATATAAAGACCAGTTTATCCATCAGGTTGAATTACCCAAAATGCAACTGCAGCCAAACCTATTGTAAACATGATGCCCATCCCCTTCTCGTGCTCCTGGCTCACGGTGCACGTCACAGCAAACAGAAGGCTCTCCCACTGTAGACGTTGCTTTTCTGAACATGTAATAGTTTTTACCACCTCTGTCACCGGAGACCCCGTTTACCTCATAGGGTTATTTATCTTAACAGACAAGAAGTAAAATAAACGGTTCCACCACATTTCAACTTGAAAAACCACCAAACTAAAGTTGGTGGTGGTGTGTGCATGACAGTGCACAAACTGGTGCTCGTGTGTAAAACCGTGAATCTTAACAAGAGACTAAATTGAACATAATGAATAAAACCCATGTGGCGTCTCACCTCACAGCCTGTGCAGACGTGTCAAAGTGGATGTTTCTGTTGTACTGAGCGTCCGACACGTAGATGGCAGCCAGGTCGAAATCCTGCAACACACACACGGTGATGTGAATCGTGAAGCTGGTTTTATGTTCTAACGCACAGACCTGCCTTCTCCTCAGTCAGGCACAACGTCTCGTCAGTGGCTCTTCTTTGTTGTGTTATGGAGCTGTGTTAAAGAAAAATCAGTTTCATATCTTAGATTCGTTAAAGCAGCCACAGTTTGGCCTCGATGAAGCTCCGCACACTGTCGGCAGCATCTCAACCAGCTTCGTGAGGTTATCACCCACAGGGTGTCCAGTTACCAGGTGTGGGGGAGGAGGTGTGAGGCGTGCGGGCATTGGCCACCACGCTGTCCCATCTGGTTTGATCTCAGCAGGACTGTCATCTGGTCCCCAACAGGACTTTGACTCAAACACACTCCAGGCTCTGCTGGACCAAGAAGTGGACCCGACCTCTAGACCAGCTGAGATGCTCTGGGACGAGCTGGAAGCAGCCGACAGGTCCTCAGAACACGCAGTGACTCCTTCATGGCATCACAAAGTGATCACTGCAGCTGGTCAAACAGCACGATCTGCATGGACTGCTGTTGTAGAAGTCCATTTATTCTACCTTGACAGCAGGATACACCCAGTGGCCACTACACATTTAGTGTCCCACAGTCCAACTGGACGGGAACCAGAGATTCATCTGCAGATTTGTCTTCATTAACTATTAACAGTCAAGAAATGGAGCCCAGCCAGCTGTCTTCATTTGTCTTGTTCAGTCCAAAACTCAAAGATATTTGGTTTAAAAGAGAGAAAAACTAAAGGTCTGAGGTCTGAGACACAGTGTCAGCTACAGCCGGGCCCGGGGGGGCAGCCGGACCCAGGGGGGGGCAGCCAGAGGTTGTTTGGAAAAGGACTGAAACTATCAACTGATTATCACAGTGTTAGTTTATTATCTGATGATCGGTTTGAGCAGAACAGTCCGGTACCACAGTGTTTGTTGACACTGTTGGAGATGAATTCAACTAGATAATAAACACCTGTTTTTATATTTGATCGCCTTCAATTAAAAAAAGCATGGAAATAAGGGAAGATGACTAATAAAAGACAGACAGACAGACAGACAGTCGCGTCTAAAACTGTGCCGAGCACCGTTTACTGGACTTTGCACACGTTTAGGACGAGTCGGTAACGAAGCTCTGCGGATTCATAGTCAAACCACCATCAGTGTGCACGGTGAAGTGGCCAGGGTGGGAGAAATCGGTTTAACGTGCATTTAAAGGGAAGTAAACGTGATGAAACTGTGCGTTAGTCATCTACGGAATCGTTTCTTCTATTAAAAACAAACTCCGGAACCCGAGAAGCTTCAACCTGTTTTCCAGAGAAACGACTGAGGAAGCTGAAGTTTCTTCATCACTGTTTAACCGCTTTATGGGGAGACAGGGACAAGAGTCCATCTCTTTACTGCTGTCATGTGCAACAAACCAAAAAGCTGCAGAAACGTGTAACCACCAGCTGTGCGCGCTCACACGCTCACCTCTTTGGTCTTTGAAGGATTCCCTCCGTTAGGAATTCCTTTTTCTTTTCCTGTTCCTGCAGCCTCGTCGGGGATGTTGTCTTTCTTCTCTGGCTCGGACATCTCTCCTAAACGTTTCTCTGCAAGTCTGCAGAACTTTTTCACGCCAGTCGAGGAGGCTCCAAACTTTGTGGGTGTCGGTGTTCCCGCAGGATGCGCAGGAGGAGCAGGACGAAACGGCCACGTTTCTTCTTATTCTTCAGCGTTTCTGGTGCAGACGTCAACACAGAGCGTTCATCTCCGAGGATCAGAGGTTTTCTGTTCACTGGGACGGTTTGACCCCCATCTTTGCTTCAGACTGACTGAGCTGGACGAAGCTGCTGCTTTCTGCTCTGATTAACCTGGACTCGTGCTGCCTTCAGGGACCAGCGGAAATATGAGGCGCAAAACAGTGTGACGTGGAAAGACCTGAAGTCAGAACAGTGTTATAGGTTTTAAAGCCTGAACAGGAAAATGATTTAATATAACACTAGAAAATATCACAAAAGTCTTTTATTGTTGCCATCTCGCAACTACTCGATTTATTTTCCGAGTGCAAGAGGAGTTAGAACTGTTTTACGTTTTCTAAATGTAATGATTGAAATGACAGTGTGACATTAAGAATGATCAGATACTGTACGCTATATTATAGCCTACAACACGATAGATTAATTAGCCTATCAGTCTATGAATTGTTTAAATATTGGGGGGGAACGCCCATTCAGTTTCCTCAGCAGTGTCGTCAGTTTGTGTTTCCCAACCAACAAATCATAAAGTTAATTAATTCACTGGCATATATAACAAAGTATTTTTAAAATAGACTAACATTAATAGATTCATACAGTATTTACTGGCCTAATCCTCGGCTGGTGACTGACTGTTGTAGCACTGATATTCATTACACATTTAGTTATTTATATTTTTCCAAACGTTTGTTTTTTCTGGCCGCCTGTTTAATTTCACGAAGCTCGTTTGCTGTGGTCAGTTCGTTGTTCTCTCAACACTTGTTTGTCGGACTTTAAACGGAGACCAGGAAGGCAGCACGGTGACAATGAAGGCGTCACGTGACCGGGCGTCATGTGCAGGATGAGGGAAAGTGAGGATGAGACAAAAACACTGACTCAGACAAAAGTTCGTGGTTTTCCTTTCCTTTATTTATGTTAAAGGGAAAACCCGCTCAAAACGTGTTTTTTATATTTGGACAGTAGATTCACACAGAAACAGTTTTATCTTTTTAAACAGGAGAACGACTGAATCATTAAAACAGACAAACACATTTGAAGGATGTTGAGTTTCCTGGAGCCCAGATCTTATGAGCAGCTGTACGAAACCCACAGAAATTCAATTTACGACCAAGTAAAACAGCGGAACAACTGTGACACTTCCAGAATCAAAATCAGGATTTCTTAGCTGCTTTTATTGTTACAGCTCCTAAATTGTGGAATAGTTTAGCTTTTAATGTTAGATCATCTACAGACTTGACAACTTGGTTAAATCATATTTATTCACTTTGCCTTTTAATACAGTGTCTGATGCTTCTTTCTTTTATCTGTTGATCCTAGTTCCTGTCTTTTTGTTCTTGTGTTGTTTTATTTCTCTGACATTATTTATTCTGGTTTCTACATTGCCCTGAAGTACTTTGGTCGACCATTCGTTGTTTTTAAAGTGCTATCTAAATAAGTTTTGATGGATTGATGTCTTAGTTAAAACTGAAGGGCCCTCCTTGTGTTCACCTGTCTGATTCACCTGTACTGTGTCATACAGAGGGGGGTTCCCCTTTAGCCTCTTCCCTCGTGGACATAAACAGGCTGGACAAAATAATAAAAACAGTGCTTCTCTTCTACTTCAGCTTAAAACCCTGGTGATGGTTTCTAAAGCAGTGATCGGCTGCTCCGTTAGGTTCCGCCCAGACTTCTGAGCCGGTCCGAGACAGACCCACTCACAGAGCCTCAGCCTCTTTGTGCTACACATCTGGAACAAACTCCCAGAAAACCAAACATCTGCTCCAAGTCTCCGTTGTATTTTATTAAATTACATTTGGGACAATTTTTTCGGGTCTTGTGCCGAGTTGTGGTTTTATTCTACTGTTCAGTTTCATGCTGTATTACCTTGGGCTTCTTCCACATCTGGTCTTAATGTGTGGTGTAAAGCACTTTGATCTGGTTGTTGAAGGCTGCCACACAAATACCCTTCTCCCACTGTTCCCAATGCATTTTCCATGTCATTTAGATCAGTAACTGGTGAGTTTCCCTGCAACTGGCTTTCCAACGCAGGAAACAAGACTCTTTTAATCTCTATCACAGGTTTTGGATCCTGCCGAACGTTCCTGGGAGTCTGTCTGTGGTCCGCTGCTGCCCCCTGCTGTCCCTGCTCTGCAGCTGCAGCTCTTCCCATCAGCAGCTGAACCTTACTGGTTTTCTCCGTTTGCCAGAAGGTGGTTTTGTTTGACAGCACCAGAACACCGTCATCAGCGGACACAGGATCAGCAACACGTGAGTCTAAGATCAGAGTCAAGTTCCCAAAATGAACCTTGTTAACAGGGGAACCAGACAACGAGCCTTTTGTCTCTGCCTGCACTTTGTGCATTAGAACCTGTTCATCTCCAGTTTGATGTTGTGCAAATAAACAGTGTTTTGGGGCATCAGTCTGATCTCTGCTGTAACATCTGGTCTGAACCAGCTGCAAAATCATCAAAACCAACGGAAAGCAGCTTTTTTATTAAAACTAAATATTATCAGACCCGGTTGTTGAGTTGGTTCTGGGTGTGGTAACAGATCAAACATCAAACTTGGACCAAACGTACAATCAAAAGGCTACTGACGCACCATCAGGACCATCGTGTACACAAGTAAGAGAAGTCCATAGTCCATGTGTTGTGTTTATTCAGCCGTTGTGAGCAGGGAAACAAAAGAAGCCCCGCCTCCTACTGCTTCTCACACACTGGTGAAAAACCATGAACCCCTCCCCAGTGCATTCTGGTCCTGTGCCCGCCTACCTACCTATAAAGCTAACGTCCCCACAGCGCCACCCCATTATCTCCAAAATAACCCCCAAGATAAACTAAAGAACTACAAATACATCAACTAACCAAACACTCAACACAAAGACGAACAATGAGCAGTAACACTAATGATCTAACAAATAACTACTACACTAGGATTCGTGTGGCTCAGTAAAAAGCTAACACGTCTGACCTGCTGCACAAAACACCTCAGAGAGGCGTTTACTTCCTGGTTGGCTGACACAGTGACGTCACTGCTGGACAACAAACGTCCCGACAGCCGAGCGACTTCACACTCAGTGATTTATTGTGTTTCAGGTGTGAAAGCGGTGAAGACGTCACAGTGTAAACAGGATGAGATGTCAGGATTCACATTCAGTGTCAAGTCAAAACATGACCCTGGAACAGAAAGATCTGACCCTCGTGATCCGTCAGAATCTCAGTGTTTCACATCTTCTGGAGTAAAAATATTAGGACAGTTTTATTTTGACATTTCAGATTTAACCAATATATTTGTATTTTAAATCATTTCCAAAAGACATCATTCAAAAGAACTGAAAAAAGAAAGACAAATCTAATCCAGCATAAACGTAGAGCAGTGAAAGACAAACACAGCGAGACACTGACCCACAAACGTCACACAACTTGAACTAAATTGAAATATCTGTAATGCGGTGACAGCCACAGCAGTGTTTATGGTTTAAATATTTAAAACATCATTTATGAATGTCAGAAATAAAACAAACTCAATCACTAAATACATTTATCAACTCTCAGATCAATAAGTGTGTGTGTCCTAGTGTTCACGTAGACGCAGTAATAAATCAGGTTTAGACGTTACGTCCAAAGAAGAGTTCAGAAACAGTGAAGGCACATTCAGAGCCGCAGACTCGTCGGTGTTAAATACACAGTCTGACATTTTAGTAAAACCTCTGGTCTTATGCTTAGCACAGGGACTGGAAGCAGGGGGAGCCCGCTGGCCCAGCACTAACCAGGCTCTGCTGGGTGCCTTATGGTGGTTTATCCTTCCAATTGTCACCCAGCTGTACACGCACGGTGTCCGCGGTGCAGCCAGCCTCCTCTGAGACCTGGCAGGTAACTGTCGGCACATTTAAGTGGCTAAAGAGAACGTCGTCATCAGAAAAGTGATTATTCTGGTTTAGCATTAGCCTAAAATGTCAGACTGTCACAGAAGCTTTGTTCTGCCATGGTCCCGTCTCCACCAGCAGTACAGTTTACTGCCGCCTTACGGAGATGGCGTAACCATGACAAAACAAAAACATAACTGCTAAAGAAAAAAGGCCACAATCTGGATCCCGCGGTCACGTCCTTCTCAGCGAATCCTGGTCTGGATTCACCGGCCCGGTTCGATCCACACAAACGGGACCACAGACCGAGACTGTAGAGAGCCAGTGTTCCCCAGACATGGTCACTGGTCTGACACTGCTGCCACACTGGGACCTTTAAACCCACCAATAACTTTTTCAAATAAAAATCATGGTGCTGATACGTGTGGTCATTCCTGATTCTCGTAGCTGGTTCCATGTTCAATCTGGTTCCCAGTCAGTAAAATACCCAGATTGTTCAGCATCAAAACCTCTTGGTAAACATTTCATCATGCCTCACTCTTTCTGTATCGGCAACGATGAACGTAGAACCCGGGTGGCGTCTGCACTCAGCCCTAGTTTTAATCAGCTCTGGTGCACGAACAGTGAACAAATCCTTTAAGAATGTCACAGTTTTCATCATATGCATGTTGTTAAATGTAAAACCTGGACTGTTTGAAAGCGGATGATGAAGCGTTTTGGCAGCATCTGGCTGTTAAAGAGTTTCATGGGTCCAGGCAGTAGAATCACAGCAGCGTTTAAACCAAACAGTTTTGTCCAGCATGACGATGTGACATCTGCTTCAAACTGAAAACAGCTCAGTGACACAGTTCTGGTGATTTTCTGGTAAAACCTTTTGTCCAGACTTTGGTTGACTATCCCTGTTGTTTCAGCAGCTTCTCGTTTCCACCGGCTCCTCGACTAAACCTGCTCTGCAGTCACATGTAGTGTCTGACAAAAGGGATTGGTAACCTTCACATAAATTAGATAAACATTTCAACCAAACAGAACTTGATGTTCTGTGAACCTTTCACCCAGAAACCACTAAAGCAATGCTCGCTGAGCGTTGTCTTCAGAGGTCTGTGGCGTGCACGAGGTGATGTGGAAGAAGAAAAGCAGAACCTGATGAAATCCACTCTGCTCCACCTCCTCCTGGCTCCTCCCAATCACAGGAGTTTGGGTCTGGCTGGGTTGGGCCTGACTGAGGAGTAGGCCCCGATGTGGGTGATGAGGTTGGGTTCCACGCTGTGAGCCCTCTCCCCAGGGATTGTCCTCGCCATCCGGTAGAGGACCATGTCTTTGGCGTTCCCCTTTACGCAGAAAGTGCCGTCCAGATACTCAGCCACCCTGAGCGACGCGTTGCCAGGGAACAGCATGGCTGGGGTGCAGCACTCAGTGGCCGGGGAGACGGCGTAGAGCTGCGGGGAGAGTCTCCGCACTTCCAGGAGGTAGTGCCGCCCCATCAGCTCAGTGACAGCCATGAAGTAGAGGGTTAAGAAGATGAGGTGATTGGCTGATGGTGTGAAGGAGAAAGAGCAGGGGTTCCAGTAAGAAAAGGCGAGAAGCAGGGCAGTCGCTGCAACCAGCCCGAGCCCCACCCACTCCAGGATGCGGTAGGGCTCAGGGTTCCAGTAGCGCTGCAGCCTTTCAGGGTGATACAGCTTGATATAGAGAGTCTGGAGAGCAAAGCGGCGTGACAGCAAGTCCTTTACAACGGCAAAAAAGTCTGGCTTCGGCACAGCATCGTCCTCCAGGACAACCATGTTTTTGGGCTTCACCAGCTCCCATCCCTTGCGGAGACAAAAGACATAATCCCTCTTCTCCCTCTCAAAGGTACTGATTTGTTCCTGGTCCCTCTGCTGCTCCTGGGGGGAACGCCGGATCACCCTGAAATGGGCCTCTAGCAGTCTGGCGTCCTGGTTTTCCTGGGGACCGCTTTCCACATCACACACCAGCACCTCTGCACACCGCCGCTCCCCGCAGCCTCCCACAATGATGCTCAGCTGCAGCATCACCTGGAGCAGGTAGTGGAAGTCCTGCCCCTGGTTCCGCCTGGCTGTCACCACAGTAACCAGCAGCTCGGGATGTTGGGCGACATCGTTGAATCTGGATGATGCTGCCATCGCAGCAGTGGAGGCACTCTGCCAGAAGTGCAGAGCGTCCTGACCTTGGTTGAGGCTTTGTCGCAGGGCCTCCTCACTCATGGAGTTCAGGTACATGGACCGGATGAAGAAGTAGGAGTACAGCAGCCGATGGCAGCATAGAGGAAGGATGATGCAAAACGTGATGACAGATATGACAAGGGCTTGAGTGACGGTGCTGGACCATCGCAGATACTGACCGACTTTCCATCGAGGCATTGTTGAAGCAGCGGCTGGAACCACACAGCGGCACAATGAAGTCAGGCACAGGTCGTCTGCTCGGGGGGGGGGGGGGGGGGGGTCGCGGCATTGAGCACCCCAGTGACCCCGCTGAACTTGCTGCGAGCCGACAGCTCTGTGGACCAAGGGTCAGGTGTGGCGTCTCATTTCAGTCTGTTCCTGCAGAAAGAGACGAGACAGTTACTGTGAACTAATACCAGTCACACGGAGAAACCACAGCTGCAGAAAGACATGGACTCATCTTTCACATCAGGATCGCCTCATTTACTTACTGAGGACTTCAGGTTCGTCTCATCTAAGAGTCAACTCTTATTACAGAACGCTTCATTTAACAGACATGGGAGCGTGCATGTACTGTATATATGGTAAAAGTCTTGAGCTCTGTTTGTCCTGTTATTGTTCTTTAAATGCAGAGACGAGCTCCGCAGTGGGTAAGAGCTGTTTTTATGGATGCACAGTTTAATCAAACCGGTGTTTGTGCGTCATCTAAGCTTTGGGGTATTTGAGAATGTTGGGAATGCCATGAAAATGAAAAATAAAGTTCAGTTAAATAAAGTTTGGACAAAACAGTGGAAGTGTAAAGATGGAGTCAGAGCAGCTCCACGGCCGAGTTGAAAGAGTTAGTTGTTCTGTTATTCTTCCATGTCTATATTAAACCAAAGCACCTACGGTCTGAACCGTGAGGGGTCATTGGCTGCTGCAAGGAAACAGCTCCAGGCGCAAAACCAAATCCAGACTACTCATTTCTACACTCGGCAAAGGACTTGGCTGAGGTCAGAAGAGGCTTTAACGGCAGAGGGGCAGAAATGGAAAGAGGAAGCTTCTCCTGGTTTGTCTAAATGACCTGAGAGCTGAGGTTTCACACTATCATCAGCTGAACCACACAGTGCGTCTTGTCCTCCAGGACAGGAGCAGGACTGCAACGGACTGTTGTCGTCAGTGTCAAGCAACAGTCCGAAACCCACAGATATTCAGTCTACAACCACGTGCGACAGGGAAATGCACCAAACCCTCCCACCAGAGAATGTCTGGTACTTTGAAACACTGGTCAATTAATCCACTAACCATTTCAGGTGCAGCCAGGAGGAGCGATGACACACACCCCGAGTCTTTTAGCATCCATATGGTCACGTGGGTGCTGCCTTAGGTTAGACCTGAAACTGTGAACCTATCCTTTAACACGTACACACGGGTCAGAGCAGTGGTCCTGAATCCCTACAGTTCGATGGACGTTCTTCTTACATCCATTAGTTCATGTTGGAACAACTTACTAATGCTTTCACGTGGTCTTTGATATTAAAACTGAAAAGGAGGAAAAAGCAGGCTGGAGTCCAGCTGGCTGCTGTGTCTACATTCACCTGTCCACCGACAGGTGAGACAGGCTGTCACTGAGACAGGTGTCCACTGAGACAGGTGTCTCTCTCACGGCGGAGACAGGCTGTTACTGAGGCCAGGGGCCTCTGGGACCAGGG